ATAGGCGAATTGATTTGGCAAAGCGATTAGTTATCAGATAACTCTAGCATAATTCGGGTGAACATTAATAGCTAAAATATTTCTGAGTAGGGTTCTATAGCAGGATTTCTATTTGATCATTGATGATGTGTCCCACAAGTCCTCAAAAATATGCAGTTACAATTTGAGATTTAAAGACAATAACATGACTCGTTTTTATGCCTAAAATAACGGAAAAATCGATTGACTAAGCGTAAGTCAAGATTAATAAAATTCAATAAAAACAACTCATTTTATCCCGTTGCTTTTCTTTTACAGGTTTTTTTTTCCATAAAATTATAACGAAATATAAGTGTATCGCAGGATTCTTGTCGTTGTGCTACAGCCTATTATAGTCATTTTAAGTAGTATCTTAATGAAACTATTGGCTATTAGAAGGAGCAGACGTATCTGATCGGTATGGCTTATCGTTCATTTAAATGAACCAGCTTCAAGACAGTATGGACTCAGTCAGGAACCTTGGCACCAAATTCTGAACTTCGAACTTAGAAATCTTAGAAAATTGTGCATTAAACGAAAACCACCTATGTAATAGCCAATCAATGCTTTCAAAATAAATAGTTTAAGATGTTTGAGTATTCCGGTAATGCTTTACAGTTCTTGTGTTAGCACCATTTGCGTTTTATTCACCTTATTGGATACAATAAGCCTATAAAACGCATAATCAGAGCATTTCATGCTACTTCTTTACATTTCCACTTATATGCCATAAAAATGTAAATATCTACTAGGTAAAGGGAATAAATTTGGAACCCTATACTCCGTTTAAATTTGTATTGCCTTATCAAACCACGTCTAGTTGAGCACATGTAGAGATCCAGACAAAAACAGATCCCCTCATAAAAAATGTCTGTGTATACATACATAAAATGGAGTGAATACTATTTACATCATATATTAGCAGTGGGTATGGATGCGATCTAATGCATCTGCCGCATAAAGAGCTGCTGCGAACTAAACGGATTTTATTATCCATTTCCCTCGTCTCAACTCGGCTCAACTCTGTGCTCGTGCTAGATTAGATCTGTTTTGCCAGGCTGCATGCGAGCAAACCGCGGCCGTTATCAAACCCCGCCTGTAGGCAATCTCATTTATTCTGGTTAGAAGCAATGTTTATATGCCCTACGGGCAATGGAACAGTTTCAAGGGAGAGAATTAATCAATGAAAGAGTTTGATCCGCTTGGAAAAATGTTAAACTCGAGTTACTGTCTTTTCCATTGTCTCAAATTTGTAGTAGCCAACATTCAACGATTAAAAGCGGGGGAAACGTTTAGTCGACTTCTTGTTAGTCTTAAAACAATAAAGGTAACATTATTTAAAGACTTAAACTGGGATGGAAACAAAGTGATATCTCCCTCTATAAATTATCTAGATAATTTTATTCGAGTATATTCCTGATTTAATAAAACCATTTATAACTCTTAGGAGGAAATTGGGGGAAAGTATGAAATCCATTTCAATTATTAACATTCCAAATAATTTCAATCATAGATTAATTAAACTGTGGTTTACTTTTATGTTCTTCTTTATTGATGGGAAAAAAACATAGAAACTTTGTAAAAAACAGCATACTCTTTCCCTTTGTTAATATATAAACTATTCTTACCTCTCATAGGTTATTTCACGTGAACTGTAAACAATGGCAGTTTTCAATTTGATTCGCTGCTATTAAGCACTAATTAAAATGTGCATTTTCTTTGTTCAAATACGTTAAATGAGTAATATTCCGAGGAATTGAAATCTAAGAGTTTTTAGGTGACCGCTCTTTCTTAATTTTTGAGGAAATTAAAATCAAACTGAAACTATCTGGTACCTCTTTGCAATTCACCAGTGTTTAAGTAGATAAACAATGCAACTCTAAACTTAAATCCTTCTAATTATTTAAATTAATGCTTTAATACATATAGGAAGAGATATTATTGAGAAAATAAAAAAACAAAGAAGTTGAAATAGATTATTAAATCTGGAAAATGGAATTGAACATATAATCATTTGCCCCGAACTCTATTCGTCAATTTAGGCTAGTCTTAACTTTCTTATTAAACAAAGTCTTTTTCTTGTGTTTAGATAGACATTATTATTAAAATATAATATCAAAATATGCTTTTCGATAGAATAAAAAGTTTCGAATAAGCGCAAAATTAAATTCTAAGTTCTAATTAAATATTATCAAATATTCAAGAAAAAATATAATTTGTTTCAAGGGTACAATTATACCTTAAATAGAGAAATCATTTCAGTTATTAATTTTTTAGATTATATCATGGACAAAAGACCACCTCATTTTAACACTTCAATTGACAATGCTGAAAAATGCCTTAAATCATATTCAAATCAAATTATTACAGAGTTGATAAATCCACACGAACAAGTTTGCACAAGTTATGACTTTGACTACACACACGTTAGAGGCATGCCATGTCGTGTTCAGGGACTACATAAAATTCCCCTCTTTGTTTATCAGGACTCTGCAAATAATTCATGTTGTGCATCCATCGTCTTCTACGTAAGCACGCAGATTCCGTCGTTTTATGTGCGCCCTTTCGAGTCTGGCTCTAATAAAACTCGGGGGTTGGGGCGATTTCTCCTCTCCTACACACCTGTCTCGGTTGTTAGTTTAATCGTGTGTCTCGCATGTTGATACCCATTCACTTATCAAATACAAAGCGACTGATCCCCTAAATTTGGGAGACACCGATTCATCATCCATAATAATTCCACAGGGATCCTTTCAAGAGAAGTGTTTGACTTTAAAGGTGGAATTTCTTTAATGGCACTTCCTTCTCGCCTATGTAATTGTCGCTCTCTCTTATTAAAGAAATTATTTTATTGCTGCTGGAAATTTTTTAACTCACTAAAGCCCCTTAATTATTATCGATTTGACGCGGAAATATATAATTAATACTTTCATTCATTTTTAGACCTTGAATAGAATGGGATTGATTGTTATTATTATTATTGCATTACCAGATTACCGTGTCATTCCTAGTTATATTATTTCAAAATATGCTGCAACTTGAGACTTTAGTTGGTAAAGAAAATATTTGACTTTTAAAAATAATTCCCCTTTATGAATAAAATGCCAAAAAATCTCCTTATTATCTTCTTTTCCTTTATATGTATTTTAAAATAATGTTTAAACGGACGAATAGAAGCACAGATACAATATTCTGCGAAAAGTTTAAAAAATCGAAATTACTTTCAGAAAACCATTATTTCCCTTGCAATATCTTGCTTAGATCTAGAATGTAACTTGCAGCGAGCAGAAAAAGGACTCTAGAAAATCTTTCCATATAAATTAAGTTAAATCATAATCGCGCGAACAAAATTGAAATACTAAAGAAAAAAGGGTACTCTATGAAAGGATATAATGTTTTTTAAAGTTGATTTTTCATGAATTGTGTCACTCTCTAAAAATTCTCGAACGCGTATGTTTTTTTTTCAATAATATATTGCTTAAATCAAATAAATAAGAAAAAAAGCTAATCAAATTTATGTACTCGTTGGCACTAGAACCTCTTTCACGAGTCAATAAGACATTCGTTTTCATTTTTATATATATTTGCTTGTATTATTTTATTTAACTTCAATATTATCAATAAACACTGCAATACTCTTACTAACCAATAAAATAATTAATCTAGTATCTTTCTCGCATATTTTTGTCAGAAGGTTTCCACATGGACACGTGTATTTCCCCTTGAGGTTTAGGTGGGGGTGGGGGGGGGGGGGGGGGGGGGGGGGGGGGGAGGGTGTGGAATGGAATTTGTTTACCGGATAATGGACGCGTACGCAGTGAGATCGGCAAGTTATGAGTCATTTATCAGCTAACACGCTTAGTTTCTGCAGGCATATAAATTTACAATAGGCCCGATCGCAATTGGAATGGGAATTCGAAAGATAGGCCAATTCCATTTATTCACCTCAAAAATATATATTACCAAATTATTTTCACACAAATAGAATTTACCACATTAAATCCTGGGCCTTCAATATTAATAATATTATGATTAGTAAAATAACTTATTTAATCCTTTTAGGTGCTAATTCTACTAAATGGCATCTAAATCTCCCGTCTTCCCAATCAATTATTTCATCTAAATTTTAGATGAAAACTTAGACAGCGTTGAGGAGATATAAGGTGCCTAAATACCGCATTAAAGTTGACTTAGAAGGCTTTTAGATGAGCTAGGTTCTAATTGTGTTAGTTTTGAGCTGTTTTTCATTGGTGTTGATTTGATTAAAAAATTTTATTACTTCGTTCTCTGCCATATTGGAAAATCTGTTTTTGTCGCTTTCCGGTTTCAATCTTTTGAATTCCATTTGCTTAATTACGCGGCATTTAAATTTAATGGTTTCTGCTGAAGTTCGTTAATAACAATCATAGCTGGTTAACGCTTCTGATAAAACAAAGACTTAAAGCGATTTAATACATCCTACTGATAAATATCAGTAGGCTGGATTATACATCAAAGACCTTAAAATCAATGTCAAAAACAACTATAATGTTGGAAGAAAAAAATCAATTTATCAAAAACAGTTTGAATGGCATAATTTGATAAATTTTCGAGTAAAGCTAACTAAGTTAATATTTCTATTTATTGAGGAAAAAGCTTAATTGATTTTCATTTTATAAGAGGTCAATTAATCAACCATTTTCGTAGATTTTTTATTTTCATAATTAAACCAGAGTCCGATTTACTGAAGTTTGCAGCCAAAAATGTTAGATTATTTGAGGCCTTTATTTTTATCAATTGATATTAAACGTTTCTCTACTTCAAGTTAACCAGGATTTTAAAGACGATATGACCTGGCTCTCTCATAAATAGACCTTTAGAGCAGATTGAACAAGTGTATAAAATAAACCTTTTTACTTAATTCAAAATTCAGTAATATATGTAAGAAGTAATAGTGACAACAGGGGTTACATAATATTAGCGTGGGTGAGTTATGCGCCACGTTAATCAGCGAGATATTTCCCAGTTAGTTTGGTGGTTTTTCCTTCAATGAGGTCATAATTAGCCCGATACCAAGTGTGTGGCAAACGGATACCCTCTTCATTAGAACACTGTGGCAGTAGGGCTCGAACCCATGCCAACAGACACTCCCATCGACTTGGGAGTGGTAGTGAAGGTGGAGTAGGGGAAGGCGAAGGGGGCGGAGGAGGTGGTGTGGGGCCTACCAAAATTAGATAAAATTCTGTGTTACCATTGGCTACTGCCTAAACTAAATCGTCCTTCTCCCTCACTCCGGCCTTCCCTGCTTTGCTTACAAACTTAATTCGTGTCGAATTGAATGCAAAGTTGAAAAAGAATAGTCAAAGTAATTTTTTTAGGTAATAAAACCTAATTTTCATTTTTTAAACAGATAAGCTATTTCGAAGTAAATAGGTCTTTAAAAAGGAGTATGAAACCTAGAAATAGAATGTATACTATACCTTCAGGATATGTTTACTTATAAATATTAGCTATAACTTAAGCTTGAAAAAAAATTGATTTCTATAACTTGGGCAAAAATATGCTCTTTTAATAATTATTGAGTCGATTTTGTCGTCGAATTTATGCCATTAAATAAAAATTAATCTGAATTTTTAATGATTTATTTATTCACATTTAAGAAATTTTCGTTGTTTGATACCTCGTTCACTTTTGTTATTTTTCTTCCTTCAGAACAAAAATAATATGTGCTTGCCATTTTAAAGCGATCAAAATTTGAAAAGAATTTCGCGTTTACAAATTCGATTTTTTTGAATAGATTCTTCATCATTATTTACAAAAAAAATATTATTTTTCAATTCACAAGCCATAGCTCATTCCTTCCAATTTATTAAATATTCTGTGGAATGGCGCATATATTGGACATTTTAATTCCTCAGTTACTCAAAAAAATGAGATCAGTATTTTCTCGTAATGAACAAATGTTTGAAATGAAATCAAATCAAATCCTACATGAGATTTCTTAAGATAAATGGAAGAAGTTAATCTAAATAAAGTCTGGTTCGAAGGTCTTGAATAAAATCGTGTAGCAAAAATATTTGCCATAATAAATATTGGCATTATTTGCATAGTAAAATATATACGTAAGTTTTGCCATCACCTCAATTCCGTTTATAGGATTGTTATTTAACATGGTTCTGATAGTTCAAGTAACATATTAAAATGCCTGCATAATGCGTTTTATCTGAAAAGTGGCAAAATGTTATGACAATTCCAATTACTTCAAGAAATTATTTCGATGACCAAAACAGTGTGCGTGGATTCGACTCCATCTACAGAAGATTTGATGTCAGATTTCAACTGTCAATTTATTCACTCATTTAAAAAGCAGAGAAAGCCAATGGAGGTGAGGGGGAGGGAGGAGGTGGGGGCGGGGCGGGGGGGGGGGGGAGNGTGGGGTGGGAGTAGATATGTGACTTACTTTTCTCCTCGCGGGTCTCCTCGATTACCGGTGGTGGTTGAGGGGACGGATCTAAGGCGGGGTTAGTATTGAAGAGATTTGCCAAGAAGGCCAAATTGAGCTTCATGGACCCATTAATGATATCCTTTGGTTGTACAAACACCCGACAGTCTAGTTTCTCGGCATTTTGCAATACCATCTCGGCACGTTGAACTAAGTCGACAGCATTTAGAATAGCCTGAAGTAATTAATTAAAAAAAACAACTTTCAATATTGATTATTACTGTATTATCTTGGGGTTCTGTATAATTAATTAGTCATTACAACACTAACTCATCTACAGATTAAAATAGGGTTGTGCGATAGATGTACCTCCACTTGGTGCACCCTGGGCAACGTATACTCATACGGCAAAAAAGTCTATTAACCGGCAGTTGACTTCAGACTCCAAACTACCATCACCCCACCGTATGTCAAATTAGACTACTTCAACCGTACTCACCTCACCATTTTTTCCAACTTTGTGTCTGTCTCTTATACATCTTTGAAACACTCTTCTGTCCCCCCCCCCATCTCGACCTTTTTCACCAAGGGCTAATGATAACAATCAAAACGCCTGCCATTTGATATAAATACATATTAAAATACATAAATCTGACTAATTAAATTTATGCAGTTAATAAATTCTATTTACGCAGCAAGATAGTGAAATTATTAAGTAAATTCTTAAAATTTAGTAAGGAAAAAAAATGCCCCGATCAAATTTACCTGAGCAGAGTGGAGGAAGGGCTTCTTTTCCGGTGGACTGATTTGTTCGAGTAGGTAAGCGTAGACCTCACAGTCCTGAATAATGGCAAACAGCACTTGTTATAAACTGCTGACAAACTTGGACTAATTTCTGGCATGCATGAATGAAAGACATCATGCGTGACATGCTGTTAATTCATTTAAATAAGTAGCACAGATTTTTTGAAAATAATTCTACATATTCCCTCATCGGAAACGCAAGCTTACCTGTTAAAACCCGCGTATCCTATTAGAAAAAAAATTAGCAACAAGGTGTTATCAAGAAGCTGAGGATGATTTGGCAAGATGTATCCAATTAACTCAGTTTTAATAAAATGATGTTAAGAGGTTCTTTTGAGTTATTTCTATTGGGCTTGAACTAATGTTCAAGACAGATCAAGACAGTTGGAAATTATCAGCTTTTTTCATATTAATGAAATAAATAAGCTAAATGCTTGGTACATTTAAAGGTAGATTAAAATCGTGATTTCGTTAGTCTTCACGGTGATTCAGAAGTGAGTAGATGTGCGCAATTGATTAGTACGTTTAGTTAACTCTTCGATGCATTTGGTTGACAAATTTCTATAGCAGGTGCAGTTTTGAAGGTCGAATTTCATCTTTTGACAACTAGGTCCTTATTTAAAGCCCATTGATCAGTAGCTGTGACTGTTCACATAACTTCTATAAGTGGGCCTTACCTCCACGTGGTGCTCCCTGGGCAACGTTTACTCATGCGGCAAAAAAGTCTATAAACCGGCAGTTGACCTCTCACTTCAAACTACCATGGCCTCACTGTATGTCACATTCGACCACTTTCACAGTACTCACCTCATCTTTCATCTACCTTTGTGTCTGTCTCTTTTACATCATTAAAACACTCTTCTGTCCCCCCACCCTCTCGACTTTTTTTGCTTTGATGTTCCTCTCCCTCTGTGAAACCTGAAGTCAACTAAAGGGCTAATGGTAACTACCATAAAGCCTGTCATTTGAAATAAATAAAACTTCTATAAGCTAGTGTCAGTAAAATGATCAAAGGATGCCGGATGGTACCTTAGAAATTCGAGTATATTAAAAATCAAACTTTAATCACATTTCTGCTGTTCGTACTGGTTACCGTGTGGGGGAAATAATGCAACATTGATTATTTAAACAGGAAGGAGCTTTAGATATGTAAAAGCATATTTCTAAAGTAAGTTAATATTTTTTCATTTCAATTAATCCAATTTACACTCTACTCAAATTTGGCTCATTATCGTGCAAGTATCGATTAAACAAAAAGACAAAAAATGAACCAAGATCAAATAGAGTGCAGTTTTGGCCTTTGTGTGATAACCACAGGTCCTTATGTTCACGCGCACAAACTTATACGAAAAAGCATATCATCACTAAGAAGGGTCCATGTAATTATGCAAATGACTCTAGTGGTTAATGTGGATAATGTGATGCTTGCAATAATTTGGAACACCTGGTACCCAACATGTTTGACCCAATACAAGTAGACAGTGTACGAATGATAGAAAAAAATGGTTTCTCGACCACAACACAGTAGCTGCTGATTTTCATGCTAATTAGGCGACCACTGGACACCGGTCATCTGAGGAGTATATGCGAATAGGATCTACCTGGAAAATCATTTTTTCTTTATTGTCTTTTATGTCCATTTTGGAGAAGAAAATTGCTTAGTTAATTGGAAAATAAATAAGTGGTAGATATTTTTGTTGTTGAACAGTAATTGGCAAAGATTATTTCCCTATAATCATTAAAAAATGAGCAAAGACTATAGATTAGCTTTTAGGCGTCGATATTATCTTAAACATAAATAAATGTTATCTGTAAGTAAAGCTTATATATTTTAACCTACATTAATACTTGAATTAGCTAATAGGGCGTTGACAGGTTTGTTACAAATAATTGAAAGATAACAAAAATTACTTCGTGAAATCATCTTAATGTCATGTTCAAAACTCCTGATAAAATTCTTTTTGGTTAAAAATTTATTTGTTAACTTACCTTTACGTCTAAGGTGAAGTTTTCCATTCGGGCTTCGCATTCGGCGCGTTTCAGGTGGTAATTAACCCATCTCATCAAGATTTGTTCAGGGGAGAGTTTTGCGAATTCACTTATTGATTCGTCTTCATTTAACAAAGCTACTAACTCACTATGAGCTACCACATTTATTTGCCGAAGGAGACCAATCTAAAAGGTTAGAGGGAATACAAATTCGATTTAGCTGAAAATCATGTATAATATAATGGAACATTGTTCAATTCAACTGTTTAGAGTGACATTGATAGATAAATGATTAGGTTGTACTAGAAACGACCGGCCATCTTCTTAGACGAAAGATAAGGTCAATTATATTGAATGTTTTCACGGAAAAAGGTCAGTGCTCCTAGTGTGAGCTCTAATAAATCATATGATTTTATGTTTGTAATTGCTGTTGAATAGTAAAATTACGACGAATCATTTTCTTTGTCACTGATAATAAATACTTAATAGATAAAATCACCTTGATGATTTGCCAAAGGAGACCAAGGAGTAAGTGTCGAGTTCCGTCCATAATATCCGCTGAACCAATATTGACTACATTGCAACCAATTGCTCGAGCACTGTTCAAAGCTAAAGTTATGTTCTCCATAACTTGATAGGTAGTCAGGCGACTTCCACGATGAAGAGCTCTTAGATCGATTGTTTGAGGAGCGGAGCAGTTGATTATTTTACTGTAAAACGAACATGTACATTAAGGAAATATAGTAGCTTATGAAAATAATTCAACATTGGGAATTAATACCATAGCAAAAAACCATCGCTACATTTTTCATAAAGGTCATCTCCATTGTCTTTAAACGGGAAGTATTCTTTGCAAGTGTCATCATTTTTTAGATTTCTAAAGAAAAGGATAAAAATTAGTAAATTACTTACCTTTCTACCCATCCGCAGAAGGCAATTTGCTCGTCTTCACTAACACTATGCAGTGTATCATCACCATGGGGGGAAACAGAAGACCCATATTGATAAATTGTGGTTCGAACTGCTACTGGATCAACAGATCCCGAGGCTTCCTGTTTACAAAACTCTTGATAAACCTGAACAGTAAAATTAGCGTTGTCTATCCTACTCGCTTAAACTCAGAGAAGTTCATTTTCTTCTCAGCAAAGTTGATTTCACATTTTTCTATAGCTGTGCGTAATTCGCCGTGAGTTTTATTAAATCCTAAAGATTTTAGTGATGCTAAAACAGCCGTTTCGTTTAGAAAACCGCTTTGGTCACGATCGAACTAAAACCATCTAAAGATTATTCTGGACATACAAGGTTGAAAACTGTAAGTAAGTCGGAATATCTGGCAAGTTGCCTATCCCCACGAGATCCCATGGTCACTTCTTCGGTGAAGACGGAATGTCAAAAAGGTGCCCTGTCACCTCAAAAACGATTAATTTGTTTGTCTATGTCTTTAAACAAAATAAGTATATACGCATATTCTAGATTGGAAAATTATATATTAAGTTATCAAATTCATCATACACTTAAACATATGTAAATTTTATTTTTAACTTTCGAAATTAGATAATTTCAGCATATTAATGGTCGGCTACATTTTATTCAAGGACAACAGATAATTAAATCAAAAATAATTGCTTACTGGAATATTTAATGAGATAGATATATAGTTTAATATATTCCTCAGTAGTTCAACACTGTGACTGATTTGACTTAATAAATATGCTGGTATGAATGAAAATTTTAGTGAGCTAATATGAATTAGTTAAAATCTTATTCTCTAAGGTATATTACAAATGGAAACAGTAATTAAGTAATGTATTTTAACCGTCTAAGTTACTGGAATATCTTACAAAAATTATTCCATGTAACTCCGTAAATTAAAAGGTACAAGTCAATCAATGAAATCCATGTGAATCAGTGAAATAAGATCTAAAACTACTTTTTAAAATGTTTTGCAAAGCACGATTACCACTACTAGACCCATTATAATTATTTTGAGTGAAAAATTAAGAGAAAATCAGTGATTGAATTGTACAAAAAAAAGAAACCCAAACTCGTAGAAATTCTGAACGATGTTATTTTGACTTCTATTAACAACTTTTAAATAAGAAAACTTTTACATAGTTGAGATTTATCATCATTTTGACTTATTATATTAGGAATTTCAATAAAAAATAGTATTAACCCATAGATTGAAAATGAGTAATTTTGGGCTATAATTTGTTTTTTCCTAAAGGTCGTTAAAATTCCTTTTGAACTTGCCAATCAGCGCAATGGCAACTCCTGCTCTAGTTGTGGATTTGGGTGGTGGTTCTATAAAATATGGATTATCTTCTGAAAAGAATCCTAAGTACTCAGTTTTCAGACTTTATATCTTTTAGTTTTGCTGACAATTGTATCTACCGCTCGAAAAACGTTTCTGGCAGAAATTTTATCGGAAATGAAGTTGAAGATTGTAAAAATTTGTCTGGTTTATTTGGGACATATCCCTTTAAAAAGGGCTATATCAATAATTGGGATACTCAGAAGCAAATATTGGATTGTGTTTTAGGAGGCTATCTTAATTCCGTGAGATTTTACCTTTTTACCAACAACTGTATTTTAGAGGACTCTAGATTATTCAGACTTAAATCTCTTCGTTACTGAGCCTTATTTCAATTTCTCATCGACGAAGGAAACTTTAAATGAACTTTTCTTTGAGGAATATCATGTTGCCGGACTTGTTAGGGCTAACCGTAATTTTTACTTTAAAATTAATTTTCAATATCAGCTGCATTTTTTGCCACTTATAAATACAGGTCTGAAACGAATCAACATGTTTCCCGTTACACATTTGTTATCGACAGTGGGTATTCTTTCACTCATATCCTTCCTATGGCTGATGGAAAGTTAATGAAGGAATTCGCACTTAGGTAACTAATTAATATTTGTAATTTTTTAGACTCTGTGTTGGAGGTAAAATCTTGACAAATCGTTTGATTGAAGTTACTTCATATCGACAATTGGATGTCAGGAGTGAGATTTATATTATGAATCAGTGCAAGGAAGACGCGTGTTTTGTCTCCAAAGACTTTTGGAAGGATCTTGCCTTTGCCAAGTAAATCCTGTTTCGCTATCCTAAGTTAAATTTTAACTTTGCTGCTAATCACTTGTCCTAATATAGGCCTGAGAATGGAAATTTTAATAGACATCAGTTCCATTTTAGTATTATATTGTTCAGTTTGAGTTCAAAACGCTATAGAAATTTCTTAAACATTTATAATTGCTTCGTTTTTTCATTGCATTCTTCGTTTTGAGAACAAAGTTCTGTTCTATAATTTTACATGGCTGTTAGTAGTATATCCTATAAGCAATAGCGTTTATTTTTGGGCAAATTCAAGTTCAAACAAAGTCACAATTTCGGTGATCGGGCTCTTAGAAATGCTGCTCATCATCATTGGTGCCTTCTCCTTGCTTTCATGTGTGCTTCCTTTTTATTTTCTGTTTCACTTCTTTCCCTATTAATGCAGCTTTGATTAGATGATTGTATTTGGAAAAAATAGATATTACTACTCGAAAACTTTTTTGCTGAATTCTCCTCGAAATTCTAGACTGCCTGAGTCTCTACCACTGATGAATGTAAATGGCAGTCTTATGTAATTAAATTGTCGTCAAGCGCAATCTAAAGAGGACAGAGAATTATATATGGTAAACTGCATTCATTGATGAATATATTAGTTAAAGGAGAAAATGGACTCATTTTAAAATTGAACTGAGTATGCTTGTGATGCTTATGTGCAAGTTAATAATAGATTGTTGATGTTTGTCAGGAATAGCAAAGTGATTACCGAAAGGTAGAGTAAACTACTACTGTTTTCTTGAAGTTACGTCATCTGGTCTACGTGTGTGTCATTCATAGGCTCTATGCAAGCATAACCTCCTATTGAGCACGTATACATTTGCTTTATTTGACCGTTTTGACTCTCTTCCATAGCTGTTATCTCCTTTTTTCAAGCCTTGAAGTTGAATTATTGTTTTCTCTCCATCTCTATCATGAAACTTCTGTTTTTCTTTGGCGCTTGATTTCCTGATTTAAGTAAACTGATTGTTCCGCTTGGTGTCTTCGGCTGTGAAACTTTCTATCGCTATTTCTCTTAAGATCCCGTGAATCTTCCCATAACACCATAGCCCGCGAGTACGTTCTGCCTGACTACATCGACGTACATCGGGGTTATCTGCGACCTCCCTCTGAGAAGCCCAAGGACGCCGCAGAACGCGCCAAACTCCAAGGGTACATTCTTCGACTTAACAACGAGCGTTTCACTGTCCCCGAGTTGCTCTTCCATCCCTCTGACGTGGGTTATTCGGAGATGGGAGTCTCAGAAGCCTCTGAGTACCTCCTCACGGAACGCCTTCCGCCTGCTGTTCGACCCGGTGCTATGGCTAATATTGTCCTTATTGGAGGCAATTCAAAGTTCCCGGGATATAGGGAGAGAGTGTAAGTGCAAAATGTGTATTTCATGAAATCCTTCTTCATTCTTTCTTAGAGTGAATATTTCTCTCAGCGCAAAGAGGCTGAACATCACTTGATTTCATTGAGATTCGATTCCCTTTTAGTCCGTTGTTGAATTAAAATTCTTTAAATGTTAAATATTGCTTTCAATATGTAAATCTTAGAAGCTTTTGTAGATATTGGAGAGATAAATGAGGAGGTACAGTTCGGAGCGGTCTAAAAACGCTTCAATTTACCAAATATAAGCTGTTTTTTCTCAATTTCTTGAAATATGTGCTCGAATCGCTAGTTTTTTCTACTTACACAAATGACATTTGAAATGACTTGGCGGATGTTTTTAGAAAACTAACCAACAGTGTGTGTGTGTGTGGTAATGGGCTTAATCTTTTTATTCTTGTATTTCTACAATTTAAGGGCCAGGTAAGCACATTTGATAATTTCTCATTGTGTGATACCGTAATCGGTTGATCGTAAATTCACTTGACTATAAAGAGGTTACGAGCGGTCAGAATGTCAGGGCCGCGCTCCTTCATTTAATTTTGGAATCTTGGGTGGTATAGTTTGTACTTTGTTCTTAGTTTGTGCCCCAAAATTCATTTTTTCGACTCAATCCTGTTCTCAGTGGCGCTCTGAATAATTTTGACAACCTTTACACTGATCAATTTTCCCCTCAATGTTGAGTAATAATAACAATCTTACGTGATATTAGGCACCGTACATGTTCCTACCGTAGCGGAGTTGAATTGGCTAGGTTAGTAGTCTAACAGAGGTCAAATAACAGATGCCTAAGATAGCGTCTAGATTTCCTAAACCGTTTATTTAGTTAAATTTTGTTGGATTAAAACGCAATTAAAATATCTCCCTCATGTCACTTTGAGGTAGTGGTGTATGTGACTGATTTGGCTATGCAAAAATTGAAGACTCACGTGATTTCGCTTGCATGTATTGAACAGTTGAGGAGGGGCCTGGTGGGGGGGGGGGGGGGGGAAGACTGAGTGGCTGCCTGAGTAGAAATAGGGAATCCACAAGTTACTCCTAATTCACCACGTATCCGATCCGTTACCTCTGTGGGGAGATTAACTTTTGGTAAGCATTTTCTGGGAATCTCGATTGTTTAAGGTTTCAGATTAGTAATTATTGATTAGAATCTTCATAGTGGAATAGAGATGGGGGGGTTGTGTGTTGTACGTCTTTTATGCTTTTTCTTTAGTTGCTCTACCTTATTCGGCTTAATTGAATTGTGAAATCGTGTCGTTTCAATAAAGTTATGTATTTAGATTATTGTTTCCGTAAGCTTATTTAATTAATGTTCATAGATTATGCACCGAGTACTACTGAGATACAGGTGGGTACATTGTAAAGAATCGACCTCATAGCTCCCACTTATTGTTGAAGCCAATCTAGTAACTGTAAATTAGTACTTAAAATTAATTTTATTACAACCTTATTTTGAGGAATGAATTCATGTTTTCACTAATATCCCATGTTTTTAGGGATTAAACTGTAATTATTTGCTTGTTTATACTCCTTCTGTTTTCTTTCAATTAACCCATCAAGCCGAAGGTAGTTTTTTGCTAAGAATTATTATATTGCTACTGTATAATTTTCAGTAGCGTTTATTTTTCAATCGGCTGTGCCAATCAATGCCGACGAGCAATTTCGTTATACGGAGTTCGCTTTACTGTCTATTTAGAAAGTGTAATTATAGATATTTCCCGATTTTAGGCTGAGTGATCTTCGCAGTTGTGTCCCCAGTGATCTTTCCGTAAACGTCTTCTCTCCTCCGGAGTGAGTCCTTTTTTTCTTATGCTGTACTTATGGTGCATTAAAACAGTTCTAACTTCTCAGTAATGCGCTTAATGGCTTTTCTCTTAATTCACCAATTAGATTTCTAGTCGCCCTTTGCACTATACCATATTACGAATGTCCATCACATTGACGAACCTAGTTCTTATTTCTTCAATTCTGCTAATGGTCTCGTGTCGATACGTCTTTTTAAATGGTGCGGATTCAGATTCTTCTAAATACGCATGGTGTGTGGAATTGTGTGATTGTGCTCTAACTATATTATCATTAGAGACATCGGTTCTTTTGCTTTGTGAGCACTATTTTTGTTCAAGATTGGGAGAGCATTAAACGATTGGATGGAAGGTGTTTCGACGATTTCCTCACTCATCACCATCTACATACACTTTTCTCTTTCCAATACTAGTCCTCAGAAAATCGTGCTTATTAACTACTGTATAGGTGGATCAAAAACACTTTCCAAGCTATATGTGAGCTCATACACTACTTGTTAGTCCTTTGTGTTCACCTGACGAAACATGGCTTGATCGATCTCTTTACTTCCTTTATCCATCTCTTAGCTGTTAATAAAGCCGTTTTATTTTGTGTCCAGCTCATAAACTGGCATTAATGACCGGTAAAAAAGGATCAGTTCCTCTTGAACTGTTAATTTTGCGTTTATTGACGGTCCTTCTGTGATATATTCACGTGTAAGGTTGATTTCTGCCTTGGCATACGACATTTGAAAGTGATAATTCGCATTGCCCTCGACTAGTAGCGTTTGTTTGAACTACTTTTGTTTGGCAAATAGTCATCTCGAAGTATGATCTTATATTCAAACAGAGCTAAAAGCCACTATGTTTGTTGTCCCTAAATCTGCAATACCTGCAGTGGTCTCTAGGTTGACCATCAGCCTTATCAATATGCGGGCGCATTCTATCACTGATATCGTGACATGACAAAATACGCCTGTCTTGTGTTGTGTCTTGGGCCTATATTTCAGTAAAATGATGCATCCGTATTTGTCTTCTCTTCCCTTCGTTTCTATCTTTTTCCCCTTGTAATTTGACAAATCTAGTGAGCACCTGGGTTACATCCGCAGAAGTTAAATTTCGTGGCATTATAACAGTGTAGACAGAATTATTACTTTTTTGTATCTTCTTAAAGTCCCATTTATGACTTCTGTGCTGAGTCTTAATATTTAATTGCCTTATTAATCAACCTGATTTCATTATTAGTCTTCCATGATTAGCTGTGCATTTAATTAGGTTTGCCCTCTCTTAATATCCTCTATTAGGTTTATTATTTCTTCCGATTAAATTTATTGATCTAATTAACCTCCCCCCCCCCCCTCTGCCTAACGCCTTCCGTGGTGTGACCTTGATTGCCTTCTTTTGTATATTCACCTTCTTTTCCTCTCCTATGTCTACTTTGGGAGTCAAACCAACTATTGTCTTCCCTCTCTTCTTCATATTCAGCTAAAAGGGAAGAGGACTTTATATATACTCATTTCTAGTGCACCTTGAGGGACTTAAGCGATTTCATGGCATTCGTGAATTAAAGAGGACGTTTATCAATTGGTTTTTTTTTGCTATTGAAAAACTACTTCCACTGTTTGCACATCACAACTCATAGCGGGTATTAGCTATGTTAATTCAAGGATTTTTCAAATGGCAGGCTTTATGATATTTATCATTAGCCCTTAAACTTTGACTTTAGCTTCCCTCATGGGTGGGGGGGGGTACATATATAGTAGTTCATTAGCTGTCTTCTTGCTTCCCGGTATCTCTGGCTTTCCGTCGTTCCCTTTAGGGCTGGACACCGAATCAGGTGGGTCTTCTCCATTTCCTCCTGTAGGTTACATAGAGGGCATGTGGGTTGAGTGTATACTCCCGATCTGTGAAGGTGTTTTGCCAGGCAATCGTGTCCGGTGTGTAGTCTAAACTCAGCAACGGCTTCAATTCTTGGCCAGTCGACTATGTCGGAGAGTGCCACTGTCCACTGTTTCTCCTTTGTTCGAGCTTTAAGTTCGTTGCACCTTGAGGTCTTGAATTCTCTCCTGATTAAGGTCTTCATTATGTGTAAAGACATCGGCCGGTCTATGTCTTACAAAATCGTTGTCCCCTTCTTAGCAAGTGTGTCAGCAAGCTCATTGCCTTTAATGTCACAGTGACCAGGAATCCATAGTAGGACCACTATTTTGTTTTTCTCTCTCAGCAGCTGATAGAGTTTTTTACATTCGTATATATCATCTCTTTTGGGTGGCTCTCTGTTTCCAATTGAGTATATTGCTGACTGCGAGTCCGAAAGTATCACCACTTTGGTGAATTTCGTATCCAGGCAACATAATTGGCATAGGGCTATCCTAATGGCCCCTATTTCTCCTTCAAAAGCGGATCTATTGTGTCCCGCTGCTGCGTAGAAAGAGAAGAGTTCAGAATAGACACCTGCACCAACGTTTGCTTGGTTTTCTATGTATGACCCATCAGTGAAGACTTGGAGCCATTGTTAATTCAAGGATGAAATTGGATTACCATTCAATCTTTTGAAATTTTGGATGTATACCTTCTAATATCCGACTTATTGAACTCAGTATGACGATATTGCAGGCTTTTAAAAATCGCTTTCGACACACCGACAGAGGAGTATTTATAGTTATCTTTCTACTGCTCAAACCACGAAGACCTTAGAAATTATCACAACTCAGTTTGTGTAGGAGTCGTTTGTTGTAATGTCATTGGTTTTAGAATCAGAATTCTTTTTCAGCTCAATATTGCAAATCTTCAGTCCCCCTTTGCGACCCAACACAGTCATGAAACTCAGTTCTGCTGATTCCTCTTTTGATTTTAAGTTACTCCTCGATTCCTATTTGCTACTTTTTAATCTTTATATTGAGCTGCGGATCCTCTCTCTCTATTATCCGCAGTAATTGTGCTCTAGAAGCTATTATCGATCGGCCAGGAATGAACTGAAGTCTTTACTTACCTCCTATTACCGAACCCATTCGGCAACGGTAGTCGAATTAACTTCAAGTTGTTTCTTTTGACATAGTCGTCACTCTGGATAAGATGAGTAATTTGCTAAAGCTTAGACCTTGATATGAAACGTGAATATCTAAGATCAATAAACAAGAAAGTGGCAAATGCACGCCGCACTTCAGGGCTCCATTCAGAAAGTACATTGAATCGAGATTACGTAGTAATTCGAGTATAATCAATCAAAAATTGGAGCGGCTTACTTCATTGCGTATATGGTGAATACAGGTGAACAGGTGCAAACTGTGAGAATGATCAAATATTATCAGTGGTTATCCGAAACTAATTCGATAGGCCAACCTAGTTCGTAAGTGAAAAACGTTCAAAATCCAGTAATTAAAGTGTTACCGAAGCGGAACCTGAATAAGGGGGGAGATTTCACAACTGCTCATATGATAAACTCGCATTCTGCCTTCTCTTCCTCAATAGAATCCAGTGTGATGTTTGCTTATCAACATCTTCACTGAGCAATAATCGTGAGACCTTTAACTTTGGCAGCCGTAAACAATAATAACCGTCGCACAATTTACATTGAATTTTCCTAATTCACTGGGCGAAGTTTTTATAACGCTGAACTAAGCCAGAAAGTTGTGTAGTACCTGCTAATGAGCTAGAATCACCAAACGGCAATTTCAAAAGTAAATCAAAGTGAGTTACATGGCCAAAGTGTGTTAAGTAGACCACCGTGAGCATTCGAGAGATCGAAAGCGAGATGTTGGCCAGAGCAGATGAAATGGCAGAGTAGGAACCTGCAACCGGCGAGTATGTGCCCGTTTCCTCCTTCCCTTTTAATTGTCAGCTCATCGGTTGGTCTATTTCAACAAATCAGTGGTTCTCTAAGATCGAGTCTGCCCTTGACAAACGGCATACTTCAGAGTTTCTTTTTTTCTGCAATACGCAGTCTCGCTCTTGCGAAACACTAATATGCCGCCTCCTCGAAGGTTTGACCCGAGAAGTCGCTAAGCTTGTGCTTGACGTCATTTCTAAACCGTCTAGAACTCTCCATAATGGCTTCAAGCTCCCAATTCTGGAGCTCTTCAGGAAGCCAAAATCATTACTATTGGCTTAAATTAAAGTCACGGAGAACGAGACATGCGCGCAAGAATTGAACCCTCTTAAGATAGGCAATGATACTATGTACTCCGCAACAATTATCCTAGGAACTGAATTGAATACAGAGCAACAGTTCGACCAATCGATTCCGGGTTTCTAAAACTTCAAACAGACCAAGTAGCAAAACAAAGATATTGTAAAACAAAGGCAACTACCTGGTCAAAAGTTGAGTAATCGAATAGTTATCCACTATGCTACCTCTAAACCAACCTTTATTTTTTCACTCCTTCCAGTGTTATTTTATAATTTTTGTTTCCCTCATCTGCTTCCGTTTATTCCTGAGGAACAATTGCTTCCGGACAGATCCAGTGCCAAAAATTTTTCGCCTTCACTTACTGCAAGGCTGGGATTGATGATGAGGAATGAATCCATATGCTTTTCCAAAATGGTTTTCTAGGTCATCAATAATCTCTGAAATCTGATGACCTTGATATCAACCTAGCACTTTAAGTGTCTGACCTCGCTACAACCCCAAACTCCCCGATGTGAACTATCATATGTTTTCCTAACCGGATTTATTTTAATTACCAAGATAAAGTATGTCTATGTACATCGATCTCGCGTTTGCTGGCTCATCGAACTGGTGTGTTTGCTGCCGTACCTCCTGGAGTCATATTATAATTTATTTATATCCAATTGCAGGATTTACGATAGTTATCATTGCCCCTTTAGTTGACTTCGGGCTTCACAGAGGGGAGGATCAAACAAAGTCACAAAAAGTCGAGGGGGGGGGGGAACATAAGAGTGATTCACAGTGGCAAAAGAGACCGACACAATGGTAGGGGAAAAGGTAAGGTGAGTATTATGGAAATGGTCAAATATGGCATAGAGTCGGGTCATGGCATTTTGAAGTCAACTG